ACTAAATATTGGAAGTCCAGTGTTGGTTTTGCACCCACAGGACATCGGAAATCAGACTAGCTACATTGTCAAGCACCCAACAGCTACATGTGGGGAACGACTGTCACAGGAAATCTCAGTGCAATTCTAACTATCTGACAGCAGTCCCCAAATACAGATACTGTAACTGCCACCTACCTCCAGCCACCTCAAGCAACAGTGCTGCAACAAACTTCCTCATACCTGTGTCCTTGATGACCTTTCTGAGAATTTCTTAGGACACCCAGAAACAGGACTGCTGAGCCATAGGGTATCTAGAAATACTGTTAATTTGACTAAATACTGTCACAGTTGTCTGAAAAATGGTAGCAGCATCCTACACAGAAGAGTTCCTATTTTCCACTAAAATTTATCACTAAAAATTTTCACTAATGTTTATCCAGCTAACTTTTTAAAATAATTTTTACCAGTCTAATAGGTATAATATATTTCTCAGTGTCATCTTACTCTACATTTTTCTAATTATTAATCTGAGACTCTCTTCATATGCATCTTGTGGTTTGGGTTTTTTACATATTTTTAAAAAATGTTTCTCCCCTTCTTCCCAATCCCCATCTCACCGCCCCCCCAGATTAGAAAGATGTTCTTCTATTTATTAACTACTTCTCATATTGAATCAACCTGGCCCCTACTTCCTTATTGTTTCTGTATGGATGTACCTCTGAGCTCTTTTTCTGTTCCAGTGGTCTATATGTCCTTATTCTGATACCATACTAATTTTATTATGAAGACATTATAGCCTGTCTGATCTATGCGGGGGCAAGTTTTTTGCTTTATCTGTTCAAGCCTTTTGTAATTTCCTTTCCAGATCTCTCCATTATATTTCTGCAAAAAAAAAAAACAAGCAAAAAATATCATAGCCACTTGTGTTTTAAATGAGAGGAATTTCATGACCATTTGGTCACCATAATCTAGGTTTCTCTTGAACACACCTCCTGTTCCTTCCTAATTACTGTTTACCTAATATTTGCAACTGGACATCCTTCAGAAGTGATCCCAAACAGAAACACATGCCCATTCTTTGATATAAAGCAGTTTGTCATTCACTCCCCAGTACTCCAAAGAAATAAAAACAAAAAAAATTTTAAAATAAAGTTGTTCT